CGAGCGTGCGGATGAACTCCTGCTCCTTCTCCTGCTCAAACACCGACCTGTGCACCACCACCACCGCCGGCGGGCAAACGCGCAGTCCATCATTGATAAGTCGCCACCTCCTTTTGCGCGCGCGGGCCAAAGACGGGCTAGGCGTACCTGAAGGTGGGCCCGAGCGATTCGCTTTCGATCAGGCTGAGGATGGCATCCTGAGTCTCTTCGCCTGTCGCTCCCTCTGTTGTTGGTACACGACAGATGGCAGCAGTAATGCTGGAATGTCAGTGCACGAGCAAGAGAGACAGTAAAAGCGAAGAACAGCACAAAGAACGAAGGACTGCTCTTGAGTGTCGCACAAAGAAAGAAGAGAGAGAGAGAAAGGAGCGGACCTGGGAGGTTAGGGTCGTCGTCTTCGTCGACACCGAAGGGCGCGCTCGCAAAGCCGGCGCGAGGAGAAGGCAAAGACCCTGCGCCGACGCGAGGAGAGGCCAAGGCGGCGGCAGAGGAGGGGGACGAGGAGGAGGGGGACGAGTCGGCGGCGGCGGACCGCGCGTCGGTGGCCATGGCCTGAGCGACGACCTTCGTGGCGACGGGTGCGAGGAAGGGAAGGTACTTGGCCAGCATCGCCTCCGACGAGGCCGGGCCTCCCTCGCTGTCGCTCATGCCGCTGTCGTCCTCGTCGTCGGTGAAGGTGGCGCTGCGGTCCATCTGAGCGTGCGCGAGCTGCCGCCCATGGAGAACCCCTTGCGAGGGTCGAAAGATGCAGAGAGGCGCCTGAGCTTCTTCGTAGCAGCGCCACCGATCGAACTGCCACCTTGCTTGGAGGTGCCGCTTCCACGACGTTCGGTGGCAGGAGAGGCAAGGTTCGAAGATGAAGCGGACAAATTGGAATTGGCGAGAGAGGAGGATGAAGTGGCGGCATTCTTCCTAAAGGATGAGGGGGAGAGATTGCGCGAGGAGATGGAGGTGAGGCGCTTGAGCTTACTCGAGCTGTCGCTCTTCTGGGAGCTCACTACCCCATCGGATGATGGCGATTTGGCCGAGCTGAAGTAGGCCGAACCAGTGCGTGAGAGCTGGCTCTGGCGCTTCCCTTCTGACTGCGTCAGCTTCTTCTCCAGCTTCTCTCTCTTTTTCCTGGCCTTCTTCTCTTCGTAATCGCTCATCTCTTGATCCAATCAAAATATTTTAATGTAAGCTTTTGTTCGCCTCAAGATGCTGCAGCGGCCACCAAGAAAATGACGAAGAAAAGGGACGTGCAAGTTGAAGTTGTTGTTGTTTAGTTGTTTTTGGATTGAAGAAGATGAAGGAGAGATGTAGGCCAAGGCGGCGACCCACTCCTCCCACTGGGGGAAGGTGAGTGAATAGCCCGGCTCCACTCTCGCGACCACTTAGCCCAACGTGCCGTGGCAGACGGTACCCCAGCGACGAAGACCGCCCCCTCACTGAAGAGGTCTGAGCACGTTGCAACTCTATAAGTCGCTTGGCTTTGTGTGAAATGACTATGCCTTCCCTCGTCCCGCGCGCCGCTACTCATAGCCCCCGCTTGGGCGCTGCCATTGTGGGAGCCTTCCGGCCACTCCAAAAAAACAGAATTTGGCTCCGAGCCCACGACCGAACAAGGAGGTTGCAACTGCAGACCAAGAAGCCAGGACGACAATGACCACACCAACAAGAGAGCAAAAGGATACGGCACGGTGGATTCCCGGGTGGTCGCCCACCCCAGTACTAACACCGCCTGGCGCAGCTTAACTTCGCTGTTCGGATGGGAAGCGGTGCTTTCTACGCAGTATGGCCGTATCCATCAACCCTAACATTATGCGCCCTTCACATCCCTCTTGGTCGGGCGAGGGAATGTTGTGTGGTGCTTTCGGCAATGTGGCTGTATCCAACAATCGTCACTCTCTTCGCTCACGTCTTCAAGCAAGCCCGAGCTCCCTCTTGCCGTCCGTAACATTCTCTGCCTTGCGCCGCTCCTTCAACCTTCCCACTCTTCGCCCATCACTTTCACAGTCCATAGCCGACAATCACCACGTTCGTTCCTCTTGCGTCGAGAGAGGAAATGAACACGAGAATGAACGACAGATCGGAGGGCTTCCTTGGTACTTGGAAAGCAAACAACTTTTCCCTTTTGCACGTGATGGGGTTCTCCATACCCAAGTAGGTCTTGTGGCTCCCTCATCAGTCTCGCCAGAATCGAAGGATGGAGAGGTGTTCGTTGAAGGCGACCCGCGAAAGTACGTACTGTTGTTGTGCAGAGTTGGGACGCAGTGAGTGAGGGGGTGATCGCATGCTTCGGGCTGAGCGTCTCTGATGCAAACAGGAGGAGGAGTGCGGCACCTTGGAGGAGAATCCGGAACTAGCGAGGAGAGCCATGACCTCTTCTGGCTTGTTCTCTGTCACCACCACTAAGTAGAAGCACCCTTGAGGCGACATCAGCTCCTGGCACAGCGCCAGCAGGTGGTGTGTGTGTGTGTGTGTGTGTGTGCGTGTGTGTGCGTGTGTGCCGATGCGTTTTAAAGTAATCTGAGCAGCAGTCTGCGACCTACTCCATGAATAGCTAGTACCGGGATGAGGGGCAGGAGTCGATCGAGTACTCGTCGGCCATCCACGCCACCAGCCCACGCTGCCTCTATGCCCTT